ACAACTTCTCTCCAAAGACAGCAACATCACAGGAATTGGTGAAGTGATGGCAATCTTGCAGTCCTCATGTATTCCCAAGAACAATAACTGTTCAAACACACCAACTTCATATAAGGAATATACTGGTCACAGCAGACAGTTCAGATGCCATCCTAATAAAAAGCATCAGGAATTTTTCATGTAAAGCTGAACATTCATTCATACATGTGTACCTCAAGCAGTTATGGAAACAAACATTGTTCCTATACACACATATAAGGGAAACAGTATGGAGAAATACCTGAATGACTCACACACCAGAGCACAAGCCATAGGGAAAGGCCACCCCTCCAAAAAAGACTCCATCTGAGAGTTCCAAGAGGCAGAAAAATATTAGGAAAAAATGAAACTGTGCCATTTCACCTGAGGCAGCTTTAAGGTTTTGCATATTGAAATATTAAATCCTACAATCCAAAGAGCCCAGAGACTCCTGACTAGAAGCCAAACACAGAATGGAAAACATAAGCAACTTCAAAACACTTTTGCCTCTCCACTTGCAGTAACCTGCCGTGCCTTCGTCTGGTAACTACTTGCACTTAACCAATTTATGCAAAACGATGAACAGAAGAGCACATTCTGCTTCCAAACAGTATTAATCAGCTAGAAGGTGATAATTCACCTGAATGAAATATTGTCATTACTAATTTTCCAACCTACGTGCATGAGGAAGACTTAAGGCTTCCAGGCTGCTGATCCAGTACTGTGCAAATTTGGAAGCAACTTTGCAATTGCTGGAACACTCCACTGCTAAGAACGAAACAAAAGAGTTTCACCATGAAGAAGGAAGTTATTAATCTTGAGCAGAAATTAGAATAGTTACTTAAAGAGTCCTTCAGTTGGTTTAAAGACTCTGACTCACATCTGGAGGAATGGCTAAGCAGGAGAAAACTTTGATTCAAGTTTTATGAGAGAATAAAGATGATTGCCCTAGAGACTCAAAACATATTTTAAATTCTAGGAAATTTCTGTTCTTTCTGTTGTCATTTCTGCTATGACTAGAAAACTAAGTATACCCACAGTTTAAGACCAGTTGATGCTGCAAGTGTGCAGATCTCAACTGAGATGGCCACCTCTGCTCCTCAAATACATTATCTCATAGTATGCAGGTTGTCCCGGTGCAGTTTGATCCCAAATTGTCAGTGGACCTCAAGTTCCAGAAGTAATCTGGGAAACACATGTAATGAAGAGAGACATAATAAAAAGGACTCATGTACCCATCAGTATTTGGCTTCCTGAGGATGCAGGCCACGTGAACATTCTACAGGCAAAGAAAACTCTAAATACTGCTTCTCCTTTCCAGTTCATTTATGCTGAGTTCCTGGGCTTCAGTTTAGTCAACTCACAGTTAGCTAGCTGCATGTTGGCAGAAACAGTAGGAACTTCATAGCAAAAAAGCAAAAATTTGCCTCCAACCCAGCCCAACCATGTTTTCTTCAAATCCTGAGGTTTGACCAGTATTGTGTGGGTTTTAAAAATCTTGTGGCAGCAACATTAATAATAAAATGGCACAGCATACTAAAAGGAAATTGTGTCCAAAGGGCACGAAATGAGTCACCAAGATAGCTGCATTAAATAAACAAAGAATATTTTTTTTTCTGGTAATGATAAATTTGTTTAGGTGGCAACATGCTGTCCCACAGGCAGAATTACTTTATGTCTTTGAAAAGGATTCTCGGAGTATTCTAGTGATGTTGAAATCTCAAATTGGGAAGAACTGATTTTATCTGGTGAGGTCATGTTTTTCTGTTACATTTAAAAGCACACTAATGACAGACTATTCTTCTGCAGGGAGCATACTATCTAATGTGACTTGCAACTCCCAATTATACGATACTTTTTAACTATTCAGCTGGATTAGATGTGGACTTTGGGGGATAGGTTAATATATCTGTTTCAGTGTAATGGCATAACTCTACTTTTCTAATTCAATCCTTTCAGAAAAGCCGCTACTGAAATCCTACTCAGTATCTCCATGGTATCTAAATGGTTGTTCTGAGATTAAATAACTTCAGAAAATAGTTAAAACAATGCCTAACAAACAGACAACAGCAGTGATGTATGTTACGTATTAACAGACAGGCAAGGAACAATTAAGGGACAGGGTTCACAAAGATGACTGAGGCAAAGTCCAAAAAATGCCAAGCCCAACCTGATGAGTAAAAAGTGAAACTAACTTGTACCAAAAGCAATTCTTCCATTCTAAAGAGTAGGAACTAATAATTCAAGGTAAGTTATTTATCCATGTTGATGTAAACATTTAAGAAAACAGAAAACTGAATTTCCAGAACTGATCTAATACTCTCTGTTATAATTTCACTCTTTCATATGCCTAATGAGCAATCCTACAGTAAAACAGAAGGTGATTGAAGATGACAACTGTGCTCTATTTGCATAGCACAGCACATTGCACATTCCCTTGTAAAAACCACAGGTACTTCTATTATGAGACAGGTGGCTTCAGTATTAAAAAAGCAGATGGTCTTGAGAAAAACTGAAATGTTATAAGAAACCATAATTCACAGAAAATACTGTTTTAACACAACTTTGCTGAAAAGGTGGTAGCTCCATTCTGCAGCAGCTGACATTTTCAGATCTGTATTTTTCAATATGATGCACTGCACAGAAACAGTCCAACTTAAGAGTTAGCAAAGTTGCATGGTGGTCAAAGATGGATCATTATACAAGAGTGCTAGATACATATTTTCCTATGTAGTCATCAATGCAAGTGGGTATTTTTTTCTGCTTAGTGCTGTGAAAGATTCTACTGTCAATATCAGTGAGCAAATAATGAGTAAGAACTAAATCAGGATCAAGACTTAATGGATTCTGTACTGAAGGATTTTCCAGACAAAATCAAAATCACTAATCACCAAGCTCTGACTATGAGCCAAGCAAAGGACTAGCTAGATATTCTCAGTTCTACCAGCAGCAATGATGAATTTTTCCTTTTTGCTCGATTTCTTCAGTCACTGAAGGACTAGACTATGTATAATCTGCTGTAGGATGCACTTCTGGCATAAGTTGTTTTCTTTCAGAGCCACTTTCCATCAAGCAGTTGAAGACTGACCTGCTAAACATTCAAACCAACTGAAACAAACGGCAAAGATTATGGAATGATATTTCTGTACTAGAGAAATGGAAAAGTTCTGAACTTCAGGAAAACAACAAAACCCTTCAGCCTGTTCTGATCAAACAGTCTAGCAACCGTTTACAATGGTATGTTTTCCTAACTGAATTTTGCCCTAAACTTGAAGATTGATATATTTTCTCTCTGTTCTCATCAGAGCAAAGTATAACTTTATGTGTACTCTCTGCTCATTTCTCTTTACACCACAGAATAAACAGCATGACCTCTCTCAGAGGTACCTGCTAAAATAATTTCAAAATTGTTAAAACCGATAAACAATATTATAACTTCTGTCACAAGCTATCCATTTGCACGCTCCAGAAATAGTCTTTAGTCTGGAAAGAAAAATGTTAGGAAAGGATCTGGTTCAATTGTATTAGCAAAAATACAGATGAAATCATTATCAGTTCTTAAAAGTCAAGAAACAGAATCAATTTATAATGATGGTGTGCCACAAGAACTTCAGTTTTGTTATGGAAAACTGAGTAAAGACTGAAAGCCATTTTACACATACCTGAGAGTAATGTCTCCAAAGTGAAGCTCACCTGATTTCCACAGCAATACACAATGCTGATTTTTTGTTAACTATTAGTTTCCATTTGTCAACAATTCTAAGTCAGAATTCAAAGAGTGCTTAGCAACATTTTGAAAAGAAAGTATGTATGCTATGTAAAAGTACATGTACAGAGAAAATGTGTATTTAATACCTTCCATTTAAAAATGCTGCATTCATGGAGCTCAATTTTCTTCTAATAAACATATTCAGGGCATAGCACAAGTTCAGCTATTCCTCTCCTTTAATAAAGAGTTTTTAGACATGTACCACAGACAAAGCTGAGAAGCATCCAGTAAACCAAAACATTAGAATGGCAAACAAAACCATCTATTAGAACCATGCTCTCCTTTAACAGAATGAACTACCACCACACCAGAACTAGTTGATTTACCAACCTAGATGCAAATCACAATGTAATCACTCAGCAGAGCAACAAATAATAGCAGAGAAGGAAATTCAGGACTTCATTTCCTTCCCTCAAGAAAGATCAGGAGAAAAAATTCAATTCACCATAAAAACACCAATTATCTTCACATTTACACATCTTGTCTGGTTACAACATTGTTAATGCAAGGCATTTGCTTTGAAACCTGGGAGGACAAAAGAAAGTTTTCATCAGCAAACCTGATGCTCTGCAGAAGTGATATACCAGCATCTATGAAGAATCTGTACCACTTTTAATAGTGTGGACTGCTATTCCTTTATCCTTTTTTTAGCAAGCTTAACACATTTATTAAAGGAATAGAAGGGTATAACTTCTGGTCTTTGCTGCTTCCTTTAATGATGTTTCTCTATGAGACAGTAAACTTATGAATGGAATGAAATACCCTGAAAGGGATCAGTGTTGACTAAAAGACCTAACACCAAAATGAATTTTCTAGGCTGCCCCTTCAGAGAACTCTGTAGTACCTGTTTTCACATTGAGCATTAATGAAAAGTTTTTCATACATTGCTACCTTGAGTATTACAGAGCCACCCAACAGCATTTATACTCACGTAGTAATGAAAATTTGACATAACTGAGAAACTAGGATCCAAAAAATAATAATTCCTGCTCTCCAGGAACATGAACTTCTAAAGGCCAGCAAGACCTGAGGTCTTAATGGAACTGTCTATGAGAAGAAAAGCAGATGGAAAATCTAGAAGACAGAACACATTCCAGAATATGAGTACAGTACCTCTTCCAGGTAAGGATGGTTCTGAGCACTACCAACACGTCAACAAAGACCACATTTAAAATGTCAAACAAAAACCATACTATATGGTCCACCAAGAACACCGAGTTTATAGTGAAATTTATTGTTCTGCTTCCTAATACAATAAGCTACAAGGTACATACAGTATAAAACGAGAACAGCCACAGAGCAAAGGTGATAAACATTCTGTGATGGTACAGTGGAGGTAACATCTGTCTAACCCTTCCACTTTATCCCACAAAGAGTAGCTAAAACTACTGACCCTTCCCCCCCACCCCTCAAAAAATATTAAAAAGTAAACTGTCTCTCTCACTTAGGAGCAGTGGGATTCAATGAGTTTTTGAGGGCACTGGTTCTCTGCCAGTATCTCAAGAAAATTGCTGAAACTAAAGTAACAAGGAAAAACTGTGAAGGTGGGAGTGACACGACCCATGCAAGATGCTCATGACACCCTGGTTCACTTCTCCTCAGAGCAAATGGCCTGTAAAGAAAGGAAAAGTTTGTTACATCAAGTAAACCAGCAACTAACATCATCAGAATTAAAATAAAGTATGCAAAATCTGAACTACACAGGACTAGGAATACAGATAAACTATTCTTTTAATGAAACCATAAGCTTCCTCTTAATAAGGCTGGGGAGACTGATAGCTGACAATCCTTCTCCCTTTATTGTTAGATGCTGTGCAGAAGGGTACACATTAACATAGGCACAGCTGACACCTGTTACACAAGGTTCCGAAACAAATAGTCTTGTCTGAGAGAACTCGAACAATGATGTGAACTGCAACCTCAACTCTTAAAAAACATCAAGGCTATAAACACACAGGAAGACGGGATACTTACCTTCAAGGCACAAAAATCCACTTAACCACTTTTTCATATATACTTGGTGCGGTTGAGGGCTCTCTCAGCAAGGTGACCACTTTCATCTGTTATCTTCTCCCAGTCTGTTTGTCCAACAACAAAACCGATGGCCCTTTTCCTGTCGGCATCTTTTTTTTCTTCTAGATCTGCCCACCGCACCTATGGAGAATACCTTATCAGCATAACCTCTTAAGAAATCCTGATACAAGTCTAGGCTTTCCACTGCAAGTAAGAGCATAAGAATACTAATTTGTATTCATTTTCCTTCACAGGTAAGTATTAATCTGTTTTCCAATAGGTAAAGATGGAAATTGCATCAGTTACATTATTTTTAATTGAATACCCCAGCTGTTCTACAGAGTAGAAAAAAGCTACAGATGATCACCCTTTTCCATTTCAATAACATAATTCTAAGCATTGAAGCGTAATTACTACAATTATTTCTCTGTTCAAAGCAATGCTTTCTGCAGGAAGAATTATCCAAGATTCATTTAGTGTCTTTATTTTCTGTGCAACCTGTATTTTAATTGCACAGTGGAAACATTTAGAAGAGAGCTATGAAACTACAGAAAGATGGTGTTAAAAAGCAACTCAGCAATGAACAAATGAATGAAGGACAGTTTTCTTCTCTATCTTGTGTGATATATTTCTATTTAAATATTTCCACTACTTTTTACACTAAATGAACTTCTTCATACATTTGTTATCTCTCATCTTTACAGTTCCACATCTCCCCTGTAGCTCTTCATAGTAATGCAGATCCCTTGCATTTATCCTGTTCAAACATATACAGTGACACCCACAAACTCAGACCCCGCTGGGAGTGAGAACAACAGTGAGGAAGGAGCGAAAGAGGTGATGCCGAAAGGTTGCAGTCACTAAAAACTCACCTGTAACACATCATTGCAGGACAAGAAAAAACAGTAAGTGAAAGAGCTCTTCCCTGACATACTCATTAGTCCCATTCAGGCCAGTGTGTTACTCAGGGACATAGCCTTATCAACTTTCTGCCAGCACCTCCCTATCCACAGTCTACCTGGATTTCCCCAGACATTCCTACTGATAAGCAATGTCAGCTTTCTTCCACCATCACCTCCTCTGCCAATGCCTTAGGTATCTCCATTTCTCTCAGGCATGCTGTCCAGTACTATTTGACATTACAGAGCAAAACAATGCCCAAACACTGACAGTTAAATTACTTTTAGTGGCAAAAGCCGGTCTTTCTACTTTGAAGGAAAAAAAAAAAAAAAGAGTATTACCTCTTTCTATTACCCCTCTTTCATCTTCTTCTGTGATTTTTCCCTTTTTTTCACAATAGCATGTGAACATATGGCATTTTGTTTTCAGAACAGAACTACATATAGTTATACACATTATCTCCCAATGTCTACAAGACGTAATTGATGTAAAACCTACATAACTGATACTTTCCTGAGACGAATCATTTTGAATACCAGAACAGTGTATTGTTTCTCTGTCTACTTATAACAAAACTTAACAAAAAATAGCTTAATAAAATCATCATCTTCTCTTGGAATCTCTAGTGTATATCACACTATCTCACCACAAAACAATACAGCATAAAAAAGGACTCTGTGGGTTGCTCTGAAATAAAGTGCATCATCTCCTTTAGCAAGAAATGGGATGATTCCATTTTCAATCTCTAAGCCATGCCCACGCACAGTTAATCTGTAATTCCTAGGTTTGCTATAATTAATATGTTTACCTCTGAAAAACCCTACTCGCAAGAATAATCTCTTACAGAATCTAATGGAACAGCAAAATGAAAAGTGAGTCACTGAAACTCCCATATTCATAGATGTTGAATGACTTGATACTAACTCTCTTTCACAGAGACTGTTAAATCATCACATACAGACAGTAAGTCATTTGAAAATTTATTACCCTTTTCTTTCCAGGTTCAGAAGCACGTGTATCATAGTCATCTGGAAGTTGCAAATAATCTTCCATTCTGCTGGCAATTGCTTCCCAGTCACGTTTCCTTTTAGTGCCAGTCCGCAAACCATCCAGCTTGTCTGAGAACAAACACAGAGCCTCAGCGTTAAAGGAGAATTTTTTTCTAATATTTACACACACAAGATGAGAGTGGAAAATTTTTCAAAAGAAAGAGCAGCAGAACTTGTACATCCAGCTTGTCTTGACAGGTGGAATGATGAGACTTGAAATAAACTAGAGAAGACTCAATACAGTTTTCAAGCTTTATTGATCTCTCATGTTAACTGTGTGGCAATAACAGTCTTGTTATGTATGAGGGAGAAAAAGCTTGCTCTTCCAGATGGTCATATTATATGGAGTCTATGCTTGCAGGTACAATATAGCCAACAACAGCTAGGAACCACAGATCCACCTTTCTATATTTGAACACAATACTAAAGCTGTAGCATTTTTCCAAATTTGGGGATTAATACTGTGTCAAACATGGCATACGTGCAGTATCAGGGAACAAGTGACAATCATATAATTGAATGCAAAGACAAGTTTTTGAGATATTGTTTCTGCTAAACAAAAAGATCCTTGGAAACCCTGATCTCCCCCTTTCTTTTTCTCTCCCCATAAGGCAAACTACTTTAAAAATCCTCCAGAACTGGGGAAAAAAAAAAAATCTCAGAATTTCTTCTTTCATGGTGTAAGAGGTCAGTCATGAATATTTGAGCAGGGCATTTGTCCAACAGTCATCATTTTCTTTTTTTTCTTACTGAACCGATATAGCATGAGGAGAAACCATTCCTACGTTCTAAAATTTTGTTCCTCTTTGGACATTTATTCTCAGTAAAAAAAAAAACCACCTTCTTGAAATCATGTAGCAAGCTACTTTTGGACAGGAGATGAAGCATTCATTGTAAGATTACAAATAACAAAAGCATGAAAAGGAAAAACAGCTTTACAAGTCAAAGTAAATTCTATTACTTCTATGTTATGGTATGCTACCATTTTATAAGCCAACAATTCATGTATGTGTAGAAGGAACACCAAGCTTGGCAATTATATTCTGCAAACCATTTCCAGAGATGTCAGAAATATTGTTTCAGAAGTCACCATTGTAATTAAATTCACCCACAAAAGGCCATAGAAATAAACCAAATACAAGACAGCATTATTTTCTGGGTAGCAGAAGATGATGTTCAAAGGTATGTATTTAAAGAAGCTTAGTTCAGAGATGAGTTTTTTGACTTACTATGGGAGAGAAAAGAGTAACAATGGAGATAATGTGATTGTATGTACAATGGCACTGTAGACATGCTAGTATAATTCAAACGCCATAAACTAAGGAAGTTATTTCTCCCTCATACAGCTCTAAGATTTTTAAAGGCTCCATCTTTGCCCCATTTCCTGAAACAGATACAGAATTTCTTCTAATAAAACATTTTAACCCCCCTCTGCTTTTTTAAAAAGCCAACACTTAAGAAAAATGTTCAGAATATTTGTATCTGTTACATGGTTCAGTTAAGGTTCTTCTTTTGCTCTAAGTTAAATCTGCCAAATTTGATGCTCAATCTCCACAGAAAGGCGACACTCTCTCTAGAAGACAAAATTGATTTATACAATATTCCTGTGTTACTTCAGCATGTAGTGTACTTGCACTGTTTCTCAGTATTACTTTCAATCAACGTAGATCATTCGTAATGTTAAGGGTTTCCAGAAAAAAATTAACATTGAAAAGGAAATCAACAAATGCATTGAGGAGCATTTAGGAATATGAAAAACTGAAAACTGAGGAGCTCTCTGTTGGCATGTACCTGTAGACAGCCATATTCCCGTTGGAAGCCAACATGCTACGATGCAAGCTCACCTCATTACCAATATGAAAGCAAGTTCAGTCTCTCTCTCCCTGCTGCACACAGAACTGAAAACATTGCCAAGAAATGTGTAATGCTCAAGCATCAACAGAGGAGTTCAGAAGGCATTCTGAGTATGCAGTTCCCCTATCCCTTTTTGTTATTGCTACACAGAATTTATTTTAAAACATTCTCTCTCTCCATGTTTGAAGCTGGATTGCTTTTCCAGAGGAGTCTGCTTCCATCCATACTATCATGGTTCAAGGTACATGTATCATGCAGTAGACACTACAGAGATGTCAAAAGCCTATCACAAAGGATTATTTCAGAATATTCTTTTCTGAAAATGAGACAAGGTGTCACTTTGTAACACTGGTGCTTTTGAATATTTATGGCAGATGATTATTTAGTGTTAAACTACTAGACATCATTTTACCATTTCAATTTTTAGCAACGAAGTAGCAGCATTTCTGAAAATCCACAGAACTTAAAAACTCACCTTTAGAATTTTAATAATAAAGCTTCTGAAAGTAACTGAGTTAATTAGCTCCTCTGAAAACTGAATGAATCAATCAGCTAAATTTTGCTCTTCTGAGACAAAAGCCACAAAGTTTTAAGTAAAATGTTATTTGCATTCTAGACCAAATTTTACAATGGTATCAAAGCTTAAGCTATGGCAGAGCTTGTTTCTCCCTTCCTGAAAGTTTGTAGAAATCACCAGTAAGACGCACCTTGAAAAGGGGTATTGCACTAAACACTTAGCATATAGTCAAAGTTTAAAAGTGAGAGTCTATCACTTTAAATTTCAATAGAAGAACCCATGTGCAATATGCACTGAGACAGACCAGCGGTTAGACTTCAGAATAAAACTGTGGCTGTACACAACACATAAGACGATGATATACCACACACATACTCAAGAGGAATGCATCACTCCTGCCAAAATAAATCTGAGCTAAAGCAAGAGCTCTGGGGTATACAGGGATTTTCACAAGTCAGTGTTTGCAGCTAAAGAACTCAAACATTTCAGACCTTTTCTGACATGTATTACAATCAGTAAGATCTTATTGTGCTTTCCTGTAACAATATCTACTCATAAAGAAAACAAAAAAGCAAAACAAGACTTAGTGTTGTTTTTGGAGTCTGCACTTACATCAGCTTCTGTAAATGTGTGCCCTCTGGGACTAATGCAATAAACCCAATGGGCAGGCCAGCTCCCAGGAAATAACTCAAACTTGGAATAACAGATGCATAGCACAGTTTACATGCCTCTCCAGAAATAATTATAACTAGTCATCTACAGAGTCTTATTGTGAACTAATTAGTAAATAGAATAATTCTTACTCACAGACTGCAAATGTTTATAATGTATACCTTGAGCTAAAAGTTGCCTGCCCTGACAGAGCAATTTTCCAAAGAAACCGCATTTATTACATAGGAATGCCTGTTTTATTAAAAATGCATGTTTTGTCAGAATTTACTTTTAATCTATAGTCCTATATATACATATAAAAATGAACACATACTAGAGGGTAGTTATAAAACTGTGAATACAGATTTAAGAGAAAGCCATTCTTAGCACCTGTATCTGTGTTTTGCAGCATGCTAACATCCAGTTGTTAATGAAATTTGACTGTTAAAGGACTACTGCAATAGTCTTGCAAATAACTTACTTCAGCATAAAAGTGACTCTGCTGTCTGCTCCCCATTTTACATTTAAGTGGTCACCATATAAAAATCCTGCATTTTATCTTATGGAGTTTTTATTGCATAAGAAAACACAACACAGTTCTTAGTTTCTATTTGCTAGCAGTATTTTGAAAGCTACTGTAAATTTCTGCTGCAGTCACAATCTCCACATTGTTAGAAACTACACTTAACATTATGTATCAGAGCATTCTTCAACAACACAGGTTTCCAGTACTATGATTTCATGCATAATTGGAGAAAACGCATTATAAACTTAAGAAATAATTTTATATTATTAAAAAAAATTATTGTTTATAACAAAAATTCAGATCAATCCTGATATAATACTGCCTAGCTGCCTAGCTATTTGATATTTCAAAACAATTGAGCAGAAGGCACCTCTGGTTATACTGCAGGTGCCACAACATCAATATATTCCACAAATATTTATATGACTTAAAAGAGAGCACAGCAGCAGAAGAGATGATGTAGCTAAGCATTTAACAGCAAAAGATGAAAGACTGTTTTATGTAAGCCAGACCTTCTAATGCTATTTCTAAGGTGCAATTGTGATTCTGGTCATTGAAAAGTAATAACACACAGGGTTGTACCACACATGCAGGAGCAAACCTCAGAATGTTAAGACATGCTGTATCCCATTCAGGTATTTGTTACTTCTCATAGACATGACAGAAAAGAGTAGTTTTGTGCAGACTGTCTTATAAAATCTTCACTTAGAACCATTATTGTTCAGTTAAAAAAAAACCAAAACAACTGATCATAATGACCAGAAACCCCTTCCCACGTATACTCCTTTCACCATAGCCATGGTGAATGCATTTCTGCCTGAAAGTTGCTTTTGACTTTAACAGAAGCCTAATGTCAGCACTTATGTTTAATGCAATCATCAGCACTATTCAGAACAAAAAGCGCAGCAAAAATAGGGCTCACATGCTTCTGGAAAGTCCATTTTGCATACTACTAAGAAGAATTCTAGTACTCTTCTGGAACTGAAAAGCATAATTAACTTTTCAACACCTAAGCTGTTGGAAAGATACAGTGTCGCCTAATTATTCAGAACCAACTTCAAAGCATGGCACTACTTTGTCCTTACAGATGTCAATTTTGGAAAGTGAGAAACATCTCCAATACAGGTAGGTATGAGGCATGTCTCCAAGAATGTAAGAAGTTACTGATGACACTTAGGCTTGAAAAAAGGTATGCAGTATGAACAAGAACACAGTGCAATGTAAGTTGACTCTTTGCTTATATAAAAACTATAAATATGGAAGAGATGAGTAAAGAATAAAATACTGCTTTTTAAAAATTTTAAGACAAAGTACTTTCCTTGAACAGATGGAAGAACAATTAATGAGTATATAAACCAGTGATGATTAGAAAGTAGTAACTCTCTTGCCTCTGGCAGAAGATAAATTCTATTTCTGTATAGATGTTTTTGCCATTTCAGACACATGTATGAAATCAACACATTTATTTGTCTTTGGTAGGGAGGCACAGTAAAAACAAAATTTCAGGTTTTGCAAACATCATTAGATATCAACTATAAGAAACAGGAAAAAAAAAATACCCACCTAGCTTTGCCTCAGAAGTGTCCATCTCCCATTTGCTTTTCGGAATGTAACCCTAAATCATACACAGAAAGAAGCTCGGAGGATTAGAGAGAGACACACATGCATATCACTTTTGAACTGGAAACAGCATTATAATATAGGGAGCTTAAGGTATTTCTTTTTGTAAGGCACAATTCTTGTTATCAGATGAAGGAGACCAATTACTCAGTATTTCAGAACTTCTGCATCCACTTCCCATTCAGTGATTTTAGAAGCCTTTACAAATCATAACAAGAGTGCTGCCCTTTGCAAACACAGAACTCCAGAATGAGTCTAACAGGCAGTGAAGGTGCTGTGTGCACAGCTACTGTATTGTATCACCCCAGGTGGCAAAGTTATTGCAACACAACTTATCAGATATAAAGAATATTCAAAGCTTTACAAGCACAAATGAAGAAGTTACTGCAAGTTTTTATAAATTCTCAGATTTTCTACACACAAACTTCACTTACTCCTTTTGAAGGGACATACTAAATTCACGTATGAGTGGTTAATTCAAAATTAAACAAAATTTTTTTTTGTTTAAAAGAGAATATCTGCTGAGTCACTATGATTTAAGTATTATTTTTCATTTTAAAATAATGCTCTTAGCTCAATGATTCTTTTAAAACACTTTTCCCCTATAAATAATGTCAGTATCTGTAATGATTTTTAGCCAGTTTATTCTTTGTAAATCCGCACAATGATATTAAGTTTAGAAAAAAGGTATTTATTTTAGTTATTTTCTTGTTATCTTCTCTTTTTATACTCTTTGACAAGTAAATCCTTACTAAGCAATCCTCATTTCAGCTGTTCAGATTTGGTATAAAAGTACTTATGTTCCTCTGTAATCACACAAAAAGCTCAGTGTAGTGAGTAGAAGGCCTGTGAGAATTCCATTACTTTTACAATGTTTTTTAATAAAGAGGGAAAAGAACTATTCTAGAAGATTTCAAGAAGAAAACAAACAATATACAAATCAGTTTTATGTCACTGACTTCTTTCCTGCTCTATTTAAAGGTCGCCTACATTGTGGTAAACATACACATATTTGTTAATGCTACATGTTACTAAATCAGTGTATTCCAGATTAAATTCCAGTATATTCCAGAGAGCTACACTGCATTTGATCATGCTCAGCATCGCTCTTCCAAAATCCTTGAATGACCTTTTTTCTATCAAGCATATATCAGTGACTTCAGGTTATCAGATCTCTGTATTTTCTTGTTTTTAATCAAATCTGAAATTAATGCAAACCAAACCAGTTTGAGCTGCAATATTTCCTTGTAAGATATAAATAAGCTTCATGTATATATGTATATTTATACTTTTAAACCAAGCTGCTCATTAAAATTTGCTCAGAAAGTTTACACCACAGCTAGAAGCCTGCATTAAACGAAGTGATGTGTGATACACTGGTGAGAACACTAAGTTAAATACATCAATAATTCATACCATCAAGCACAGAAAAGCAGGAATTGTCTGAATGCCATAATCCTATGGGAGTTGATAATAGCAAGAAGAGTGACTTTGATGGTGTGAAATGGCCTGTTGTGTGCTGAATCTATACAATATCCCAGTCCTCAGATAGGATAAGCAAAGATTCAGACTTTATCCATTGGTACAAGACAGTTGGATATTTCAAGGATATCTGCCAGATGCAGGAGCTTCAGACCTCTCTTTTTCCACAGGACTAAATGCAGCAAAATGAATTGCAGAACCCTTACCAACTGCTCTCAAGAAGGCAAGAGATACCAAATACAGTGTAGTGTTCCACCTGTCTGATATAATTCTCTCATATCAGCTATCTGACTGAATACCAGAGACTACATACAGCAGATAATTCTTTATTATTTTTCCTGTCTGAATAGAACACATATGTAGATTACTTTTAGTTATTTAATAATTTGCACAGTTTCCATACCAAGCTTTCTGTCTCATAAAGAAAAGGCCTATTGTTATATGTGCTGTATATTAGGACACTCCCCCGAACCCATAAACACACATGTACACACACACATTTATGCACAGATGTTTCAAAAGCTAAAGACAACTTTCTCTTTTAGCTATAGCTCATTTCCAAGAAATGAGACAAGCAGCCATATTCTTGTTAACATGGATGCATCTTTAAAGTGTTCTAACCACACTTTATGAAGTCTCATACTCTGCGCCAAAGAATAATTTAGTAAAGAGAATGAGTCATGTTGCAAAAAACAGACGTTTATTAAAATCCACTTTTCCTAAGCCTTTTAAAATTCTATATTTCAACTGCTTTCTAAGCTGCCACTCCTGAGGAATAGTAAATTTCCATCAAGGAAAAGCACTTCGCTTGTCCCAGACACTTTTGGTTACTTCCTGTTCATTGGACTTTAACTGCTTGGTTGTGGGAACCAGGGTTTGAGACATTCAACTCATCGAGCACCGAACAGTTGCAGCTCCAACACATACCAAGGAGTTACAGCAGGAAGCCTTCCATAGCCTTTTAAATACATACCTAAAAAACCCAGCCCTCAGGGCAATTCTATAACCTTCATTTATCCAAGAGACCTAAGCTCTCATCTTGGAAATACCTCCTGACAAACAAAGCCAGAAAACTGTGGCAGAGAAAGCAGTCTTCATACATGTTGTCAAATACTGTGACAGTTGAGTTCTTTAGACATGTGAAAGGAAATAAAATAAATTAATCTTTGTCTATTGTTCCCATCCCTCCACTTAGTGTAATTCTTAGATTATATGGAACACAGCACTATAGTGTACTGCAATTTAAAAAGTCTGTAAGAGGCATTTTGCCATGCTCCACTGATAATGCTGTTTGTGGAATATACTCACATATTCTTACAAATAAATTAGGAAGAAATAACATGATTTATCATTAAAGTTCTCCTAGAAATGTTTAAGGAAAAAACGACTAGAAACATATGTATTAAGATTGCACTGCTAAGAATGGCAATGAGTTGGTGCTTGTAAGCCTGAGATTCTTCCTCAGACACATTAATGAAAAATTTGTTAGAGATGGTTGATGTGTCTCCTACCAGTTCACTTTCTTCCTCCTCTGCTGTGTCCTTCTTGACTTCTTCTTTCTGGTCTTCAATATTTGCATCAAAATCCTCCATCTCCACCTGTTCCAAAGCACAAGTACAGACTTACAAGGCACTGCCTGACTTCTAAGTATTTTCTTTTTAGCAGAGTAAGTAGAAGATTCCAAGTTCAAATAGAAGAGAAAAGAAAGGAGTCATCTTCAAAAGTATGATGTTGCAATATATATGAATATTGTGTCCATTCTGCCTTTCTTCAGAAGCAGGTTCCCTTCTAGCAACGAAGTGACAAACTGTGGAAAAGTAATCATTTATTCTCTTCCTTGACATGCATTCCTTGCGCTACCAGTACCTCTAACAGCAAGATACTTCTCTTGATTCCCACACAATCATATTTCAAAACTCGAAATCTCAGAAAAATATCTTAAACTAGCCATTTACATATCACTGGAATGGCTCTCTCTGCATAGAGCATCTCTATTGAGGCTTTATCTTTTATATATTTTAAAATTGCAGTAAAGAATAATAGTAACCACAGAGATCAGCCTAACAAAATACATGGATGCTTGAAGACATACAGCTAAGCCTGCTCATCTAATGCAATACCTTCTGGAGTCCACAGTTCTAACAGGGTCTCATGCGCATACTGTGGAATACGTAAAACTCTCCAAGTATGCATAATTTCTTATACCATTTGTAAAACCTTGTAAACCCAAATCTGCCTTCTCTGAGCCGTTTGCTGTCCTCTTAAAGATTATTATTTTCCAGTACAAAGAATTTGGAGATTCAAAAATAACCTGCTGACATCATGACAAACTGCAAAGACTCTCTGTCTACTTCAGCAGTTCACCAGTTTCTGCGGTCATTGCAAGAGCTGTTCTAACAGCAACAAGCACCTAAGGTACCTTCACGAAGATGATATGATTAACATATACTATTCCCAGAGCTTCTGACACAACTGCCAAAGAATGCAGCAATACAGAAAGCTGACATACCAAAGATGTATGGCACGGCAAGCTGCAAATGGAATAAAAAGGCAGCATACTTCTACAGCTACCTTTTGTTAATTTCTTCGTTTCTCTGCTACATGTCTGTATTTATCAAAACAAAGACTGAGTTCAAATTTCTTTCCTTATTTTATCCAACTAATTTCTCAAAATATGATCAAAAAAATCCAGTAGTCTGCAAAAAGTGCTGAGTTGCATCTAAGCGAGCATTAAGATTCTCTTTAATTGGTACTCAAGAGTTGCTAAGAGCAAAGTGGATTCGACTCTTGCTCAAAAAGGCGATAAAAACTTGCTTCAAAAAGGCAATAAAAACAAACAACATGCCTTCATGTTTGGGTAACTGATAAGAATAATGGAATACACTTACCTAACACAGTGATTCTGACTTCTTACAGTACCAACTATAACTGCCTTGTTGTGATCATATCTTTGTCTGCTTTTTATTTTCAGTATAGTCACATTGACATAATTTGTAGTTTTAACAAGCACAGAAGTTCCCACCTCTTCGATAGCAGCATCCTGCAATAGAGAACGAATGTCCAGGCGCATCATGTGACGTGGTGCTGCCTCCCAGTGCTCAGACATCTAACAAAACACAAACAAAAATATAACAGATTCATTTGGTTTCTGATCACTAACAAGATGTATCTTTACTTAAGAAAAGCAACTTCAATCAATCCCATGAAATAACTACATGTTCTTCTTATAAAATGTGTAAGCATTATGCAGTCTACAGTTTTCAAACAACAGCAGGCCCAAAAGCACAATAAACTTATAATTAATCCTATGGCTGCAAATGTATACAGTTACCCTGCTGATATCCTTTAGCTTGCGTCCGTGAATATTCCTCTTGGAACACGTCTGGTTATCCGCACTCATTTCAGCTAAGTACACCTAGAAAGACAAAGACAATATTAAATACTGTAAATCAATTTTTAGAGCTCTTTTTCTACCTGGTGATACACTCTGCAGTTGTACATTTTAAGAAAGGTAAACTTGTAACTGTACACCACAGCTTTTTTCCTGAATGTGGGAGACACTTTGCATTCAAATGTTTAGAAATATCAGCATACAGCTACCAGCAAGTTCAAATTCTATTTAGGCTCCATTACCTCAAACCCCTTGGTTTTTGCAGCACTCCAAAACTGTTCAAAATGTCGCACTCTATCATTGATAGCATCAAGGATAATGAAGGGAAAGAAGCCATCATCCAAGGTCTTTTTGAAAGTTTTAAACATGCTGGTACGATAGGTCTCTTCCATATCAGCTTCATATTCATACTCCATCACCTTTATCAAGAATAAAAGCATTTAAGAAAGAGGACATCTGTAAAAATGCTAATGTTCAACAGCTGAATGTCATGACCACAAAGCACACTGGTATGAGAAAAGCACATTTCAGGTCGGCTTTTAAGAATTTGCCCATACCACCCTAAGTTATATTAACCTGTTTTGAAAAACTACCCATAGACCTCTGCACTCTTCCCAAGCCACAGACTGAAATTTTGACTGCCTCTGTGTTTTTCCAGAATGTTGTTTCTTTGTCAAGAAAAGCAACTGAATTAAGAGTACCTTCTTTTTAACTTTTTTTCCTGTATCTGGGTCTCTCTCTTCTTTCTCCACTTCAGTGATAAAATAGTCATCCAGGCTGAGCACTCTTGGTGCAGGTCCTCCACACTCTACTTCTTTATCCTGGCAAGAAAACAAAAAGAAAACATATACTCTTGCTATAAAAATTCCATTCTGCTACACAGGATCTTCAAAACACTTGTGGCCAACAGTAGTTCCCTGCTCTGTATTCAAAACAAGAAGAGAGCAGTATCCCTCCTGCTTGGTGATAGAGGAGGGGAGTAACATGCCACATGAAGACATGGAACATGAAATAACAACAGACTTGAATTCCAGGCAAATAGAAAACAAACAGCAGAGGAAGCACGTGTAAAAGACAAGCAGCACTACACAGTGAGCAGTTGTTTACATACCCTGATGAGTTTTGCTACATGTGTCTTTCCGCTGCCAGGCAACCCTCTCATTATGATCACAATCTGAAACAAAGATCATGTAACAGGATACTGGACTATATTTAAGAGAATCTCTTGCAAAAATTTTCTTCAAGAAAATCATGTGCTGTGGGCTCACACTTTTGCATATGATCAAGCAAAGCCACCACCACACCTCACTGTCTGTTTTACAAACCATGTTGTGAGGAATGGTAGTAGTTCCACATAATTCAGAGTTTTTGATGTTAATCATCTCAGCACCTTAGGCTGCATTATATTATATTATATTATATTATAGATCTGGTTCAGTTTTATAACCTGAATTGTGTTCTTTCTTATTTTATATGGTGTACTGCCAAATCTCTGACTCTGTGTAAAGCCAAGTCTTTCCTCTGATACATCAAAAATCCAAGTGAAGATCTTATAAGAGTCCAAAATACCTTAACATTACACACTAATTTCCTTTTAGCATTCCAAGGAGTTTACATCTCCTGTAGACTCCTAATAGTTATGCTACAACACTAAGCATTTGCAAGGAACCAAGCTAATTTCCAGAACTTCCTCAAATGTACACTTGTTTGCAACATATAACACCCATGACCATTTTGTCTGAATACAGACAAAGTAGAAACCAATTATTGCTTTCAGAATGCATACTCACTCTCTCTGGTCTGCTATCCCGTCCTGGTGGCTTTAAAATATCATCTACATTTTTAGATTCTGGCTTCCTTTCCATTCTTGGAGCAGGTGGTGGCTGACGGGGTATCGATGGAGCAGAAATAGGAATCCTTTCCTCAGGATAATTTCTACGATCACCTTCAAATTCCAGTGTTTGGACAGAAGAATTTTCTTAGTTCAGTAAAATAAAAAAATTAAGATGTTCATACACAGCTGAGCTGATTTAAACAGACCTTCATTATTTTCAATTAAATTTACAGATAAGTCCTCAAAATAATTCAAATTTCTGATCTTGAACATATTGCAATCAAAGACAGCTTTTAGCAGAGTATATCACTGTTTCATTCATGATCTCGTCATCCCTGAGAAACAAAACTGACACCACCTAAATAAATTTTCCTGAATTATATATTCTGAAGAAATAAATACTGCAAATCAATTAATCTACCAATTAATCTTCACCTCTGCAAATCCATATTTTTCATAATATCCTAGCATGACTTCAAGATTGAGAAACTGTACCTCCAAACATGGAAGGCCCATGATCATATGCTGGGCGATCTGTCTTCCGTTCATATGGTGGTCTTTCAAAACCACCTCGCCTGGAGGATGGATGGTCTTTCTTGTCACGGTAAGACTGAGTCCTTGTAGGTGTAGTAGGAAGAACCCTGCCAAAAGAGTATTTTGTGTACTTCTAGAATTTCCACTATGGATTCCAGAGCGAAACGAACAGTCTGATGCACAATACAGCCTCAACTGCATTGATTCCAATAGTGTTCCAAAATCACATACCTATCGTCTCTGGGATGCCTCTCTTTTTCAAATCTCTCTCGTTCATAGTCCACAGAACCACGGTCTCTGTGCAATTCCCGCTCTCTCTTGAAATCTCGATGATCTGTGTTGGAATTACCTTGACGCTCAAAATAAGGCTCACGATCTCTTTCTCTGTTGTAGCGACCTGGATGCTCTGAAGAAAGAAACCCATGGAAATCCAAACTATTTTTTTTTTTTGAAAAAAAAAAAGAAAAAGCAACAACCAAGAGTGCAGGAAAAGTGTATAGAAATACATGATATGTGGGCTAGGATGGACATAATCAGACACTGTATCTCTTTTCCAAACTGCAACAGACTACCATACCATGCAATCCTACTTAAAGCTGCAAAACTGAATTTTTAAAGTAGCTAGGTTATCGACTGCAGTACTCCTCTTGACAATATAACCTGTTATTCCTATGGGCCTCTGAAGAAAATAAAGTGGTTCTGGCTTAAACAAGAGTTACTTAGTTTAAAATATGCCTTTAGTGTCTTACAACTTTTCTTAAGAGCTAACTAACTGAGAGCTAGCCAAGCACTCCCTACCTTTTTGAAATGTTTGCCTCTCCGGTAGAGGTTCTGGACGAAGGGTTACCCTCTCCCCATATGGAATCTGTTCCACTTTACTGGTAGTTATATCTGGTTGAAAATAATCATAAAATAATTAATGTCTGAAAACACCTCTCTTCCATTTCCTTTCCTCTGTCATGAGAAGCAATCAGTCAGTGGCATTAAAAGTGACTGGAACAACTTACCAAAATTTCTACTAATGGATAATGTAAGAAGAGCTACACATAAATAAACAACACTATGGCTTTGAAAGACTGAAGTGGGTTTGTGTGTGTGTGTGTGTGTGTGTGTGTGTGTAAACCATTTCATCTCTAAGAATGGGACTTCTGCCTTTTAAGGTGAGTTCAGGTAGCATGCAGTGTCAGAAAACTATATACACTAAAATGCTCTGAGAGTTTCAATAACTCATAGAACTACTGTAATATCAAGAATATTAACTGAAAGTCTCACATCAGTAACAATTTTTCTAATAGCTTTTAGTAAAACATCTATTAATGGAATTGATATGGCTTCAACTCATGCCATGGCACCTCAGAGAGAGAAAAAACACACTTTAAATGACAATGCACAATTTAAGGACTTCTTTATGACATGATTTCACTTTTGTTTAATTCTATTTAAAACCTAGTGTTGAATTTTAGCTTTGATAAGCTCAATACTAAGAACCAGACCCCTTCACTGTTTATGTGTTAAATGCCTGCTTAGGGTGCACTCCCTTCAGAAGGAGACTTTGTTTTCCTCCCTGTCCAGAGGGTACCTCACACCCATTAAGCAGTATAAAAATAATGCAAACACCAATCACATTCTGCTTTAAGTTACTAAGTCACACCAAAGAACTGTAACCATGCAAAGTATCTTCTAGCACAGTTATTTCCATACTCATCCACAAAGGGGTTGAGGGAAAGTATCAATATCAATCTAAATATAACACATTGATGTGATCACATCAGTTGGTGTTCATTAGAAGCAGCCATGGCTATACACCATTCAGTTCACATGAAATAGCTCTTTCTACGAGTATAGAGAAAAACATTAAACTCAGGGCTGGAGGTCACAGATTCCTTAAAACTGCACTGCTTAGCATCACATCGCAACGGATGCCGTCTACACACCAACTGCAGAACAAGCACACTTTGCATGGCACGCTCCTTTAGCAAGAAATTAGCAGGACTGATTAGCTCTTTGTTACAGATCAAATACACTGTAATACCCACCTCGCCCGTGGCCATAATCCACAGTTTGCTGAATAACAGGTGCTTTAGGAACTGGTGGAATAACTGGAGAAAGGGACACTGGTACAGATGATGGAACAGAGGTGTGGACAGAAGGTATTTTCACAGGCGAGGAAACAGGTGGAGGCATCATTGACTCCTGTTTACGTAACTCATACTCCATATTTGCACCTTTATCCTCATTTGTGTCCCACAGTCCGTGGAAAGAATCCTCATCCCAGCGTTCCTGTTCCACAGCAGAATGTGATGGTTTTAAAGACTGACCATGACTTGGGGTTGTAGTTGGAGTAGAAACTGGAGCATGTGGCCTTGTCATAGGTGTAGTAGGCCTTGCCAGGGGGGCACTTGGTCTTGTCACAGGGGTGGGCTGTCTGAACAACACGGGAGGCTTTATAATAACAGCAGGAGAAGGTTTAATAGCTTGGGCTTCTACTGATGCCTCTGAAGATAGCTGAGAAGAGACCTAGATGCAGAAAGCACTTTTAATGTAGCTCTGTAAAACTAACCTTCTCTCATCCTCTGTTAAGTCAGTTAGTGCAATGGCAATCAGTTATCAAATCATACACATTTTCTAGTACCTCCATCAAGGTGCTACAGGTAGGAGGACTATTTCCAAAAACTGGTGGCCTGATTTAATTTGGCATTTGTTCACTATGTGAAGGTTTAAATACTACTTATTTTCTTCTTCAAAATAACCTCACCAATTTAAGGTTTGGTAGGCCTATCTCAGTTAAAGTGTCTACTGTTTTATTCCCAAAGACTCCTGCTGTCTGCAAAGATTCCTGCTGTCTGTGAGAAGGCTGACAAAGTCTGAAAGTAGGGCAGCTTGGTGAGATGTAGAAGGATTGATAAGGCAAGTTTCTTTGTGGAAGTCACTAGAAAAATTCACAGAGAGCAGAAATATCTGGAAAACCCTTAATGAAATCAACATCAGATGAACAAAGAAATTGAATGGTCTTGCCCAGCAGAAAAACAAACCAAACAAAACCAAACCCTTCATGAATCAAACATCTTCATGGAACCCCGCATGCCTCAAGTCTTTTCAGCATTACAGCAAATGCCAAGTTACAGGCAGCCAGCCTTATTAGCAACATGCAACAAAAATTGCAGAATGGTTGTAGATACAAAGCTAAACTCTGTAAAACCAGCTGAAATTCACAGCAGAAATATTTGAAGGCAGGAACCCCTAGAAAGACAAGAGTTGTTTGAAAACCACTAGGCAGGGGAGTGAAGTAGTCTGAGATACTTCTGCTCAACTTTGATATTTTGTAACTTCCTAAAGGCATCAACATACCTGCAGTTCTTGGTAGCAAATCACTTCCATTATTTTACTTTACAGACACTGCAAACAAGGAAGAGGTCATCTAGGCAAAAAGAAAACTTGCAGTGCCTCATTCACTGCATAACATTTCTCCGGAGGGAGGGACAAACAGCTTGCTCTGGCTAAATGTCAGACCCAGAAGACATTATGGCTAAATTTACTGGTATTAGTAACTTTGGAGTTAAGATGTGATGAAGAATAAAGACTCCGCATCAACTCCAATATATATTTAACAAAACTGTTTACTTGTTCTAGGAGGGATTTATAAACCTTAGTTAGCATGACTGCAAGAAGTTCAGTTGATTTCTGACTGGATATGAATTATCAAAAAAACAGGCATCTGAGAAGAGTTCCCAGAATTAAGCAGGAGATGAGGCAGCAGAGAAGTAACTTGCATCACAACAGGAGATGAACTCATGGAGGTACACAAACATGAGCTTCCGTGCACTTTATATTATAGAAGGTAATGAGAGTTCCCCATAAAGACAGCAAATAGAATGCTAATGCCCATGTTACGTTGAAATATCTCAGTTTCTGATTGACTTATCCTCAAAATTCTCTAACTTCAAAGAGAAGAGAGTTGTTGAAGTAGGAAAAGCACTATAAATTGTCAGAACTTAGGCAAAGAACAGCAGAGTCTTTTTGTGAGCCTTATATCCCTGTTTTGGAAGAGCTTACCTCCTTTTGCACATCACCCCACAGAATCTAGACTGTTGAACCTCACGTGCTACTGTCCCCGATAGGTCATGCTCAGAAGACATAGTGGACTGACAGAGTAGAAAAGGCTTTGGAAAATTTAAAGAAACTAAGAAGTTGCTTTGCCTCAACAGAAGACTGATGAGGTTGTAAGGGTTGCTGGGGAGGCATTTCACAGGGAATTTTAACCATCGGTGTGTAGAACTGGTTGGACATACACATTAATTGTAATAACTACCAGCATGTTATTAACATAAGACAAATATACCTGAAAGGCACCCGGCCTTGTGCTTGTGTTCTGTGATCTTGGAGGGTCCTGTGTGGAAATGTCAGGTTTATACTCCTTCAACTTCTGTAGCTGTTCTTTTTGCTCTCTGCACATGCATCATAAGAAAATGTTATCAGTCTATAGGTTAAACAAAAATAAGAAATCAATGCTCAGTAGTGAAAACACATTACACTAGAATCAGGAGCCAAGTCCAAAGAAGAAAAGGACACAGTAGGCTTAACATGGGCAGTGCTGTGATTCAAAAATCCCTGTTTCACATCCACCTAACCATGGAGGTATTTAGTGTTTTAGCTGCATGCTTTTTGATCACAGGTTTCCTGAGACATGTAGTTATGCTTTTGTGCTTGACCAGAACCACTCCACTTGGACAGTAAAGAGTAAAGCTGGATTATTAGCTTCTGCCAATACCTTCTGGAAACAAGAAACCCCTTGGAAATGCATGCATAAATGCTCTCAGTTACTTGCCCTGGTTCACATGCTAACAGGATTGAGACTGCCAAAGCACAAGAGATTCCATTATTAAAAAACCAGACAGTGATTCCAACTTTTGTTTCCTTGGTTTATATATCAAAATGCTATTTAATATACAACAATACATAATCTACAGAGCAGAGACTTAAGGCCAGACATGAGTACTACAACCACTAGATTACAAAGTTCTATTCCTTTCAGTTTTTGTTAGCATTTTTAACCTAGGCTTTTTAATTGCTAATAAGTCGGTGTATTGAAGTAGTTCCTAAAGAACAACTAAGAGTGGGATCCCTCTGTAGGAGAAACAACAGATATCACCCAGAATAGTAATGCATCTGTTCGGTGTCCAGCAGAAGGGGAACTTGGCTCACAAAAAAGGATCCCCAGTGCTGTATTAGCACAAAAAGTAAACCAAGCACTATGCTAGATCACTAATACAGAACAGCATGCAGCTGAGAGTATGCTGTTTTACATACAATAAAAGCAAAGCCAGATAAAGGCTTTACTTCTGGAATGAAGGCAGTTATGCACCACACTTCTGGTATAACTCTTGGCTCAAAAAAAAGTAATTAATAAGCAGTCTCCTTAAAGTTGTTCCCACTATTCAGACTGGGGTCACCTGCCTATAAGAACCTAATAAGAAGTACCACTATAAATGGTTTTAAGATTACCCTCATATTCAACTGAAAATCAGTATCATGTTTATGTTCCCCCTTTTTACTGGCTTAGAAAGATATGCATGTAACAACTTTCTTGCATAAAATAAGTTTTAGTTCCTATGTTTAAAACATTTCAGTCCTAATAAACTATCCACTCTGGTAGTGATTCCCAGACTACAGTCCTTAGCTTAAGTCCACTAGCTTGCAGCTAATCACATTAAACAACAAAACATGTGCCCAGCAACTGAAGCAATAGGGAAGTCAGGAAGCTGAAAATAATCTGTTACTCCAAACTTTTGGCAAATATTACTTTATAACACAGATTTCACAGTTACTAACACTTGTTGAACTAATTTAATTGCAGTGAATGATTAAATTATTCACAATAAAAGTTCTTCCTTTTTAAAAATAATTTGTCTTGTATTTTGGCATGCTATTAAGACCTTCCATATGGGACAGATGCTTAGCAATCTTACAAGTCTGAAAACAAAACAGCCTGAACAAAAGTGCAAAATGTCTCTACCATGAAATGGTTTGGGTTGGAAACGATCTTAAAGATGATCTAGTTCCAACTTCCCTGCTATGGGCAAGGATACCTTTCACTAGACCAGGTTGCTCAAAGCCCCATCCAACCTGGTTTCTTCTATTACTGATTTTGTAATAAACATCAATTAAAGCCTTAGGGAGTCTAGTAACTGCTTTCTAAAAATGTGGTCTTGATGAACTCTCACATTCATATCCTCCTAATAGTTATTACTGCTTTTCTGCTGATCCTCAGAACTAAGATCAACCTAACTTGACAAAATTATTCACTGACAATACTGGATTTCAAACGAGAGAGCACTGTAAAAATAAAAAAAACCCACACGTATGCTTTAATTAAAAAGCAAGCAGTATCCAAAAAATTAAATAGGTTTCAGGAATCACATTAATGTAGGTGTTGACAGGCAAGTATTAAAAAGCAATTATCATTGAGCTTATCTGACACTAACAGAAAGATTGAAAAGAAATTATCAAAAAGCTAATTTGAGGATAACAAAAACATTGGTCAGGTGATGGGATAGATCTCTTCCTGGAAATTAACAAACAGGGAATGCCACATTCATGGGGAAAGGGACAACCATCTATGTAAGAAGAAAAATCCGTCTACAAAAGTTGTGATGGAGGTACTCCAAATAACTTGTTACACATGAGCTCCTACTATCATGCTGTAGGTGAAAGAAATGAAGCCATTACTGTGTCAATTTGAATGAATCCCACTGAATGGGGATTCCCATTCAAATTCACAGAACCAGGCAACTCACCGAAGCATTTTGAGCTCCTGGGCAGCCTTCAGAATTATCTCATGCTGTCTTTGGCTAAGGACCATCACTCCTCCCAAGGACTGGTCAGAGTCCAGGTTTGAATCTGCTCCCAGCATATCACAGGAATGTGAAGGTGGAGGAAGGGATGAATCTGAGTGGTCATCCAGAGACCGCAGTCTCTCTCCATCATCTGGATACCACCTATCCGACAACCGTTCCCTCTCCCAATCAGTCCTTTCAGGAAGGTAGTCTTGCTTTTCCCGCCATGTGTCGTATCTCTCTGGATACTCTCGAATCCTAAGCTCCCCCCTGTCTCGGAGATCTCTGTCATAATGATCTCTGTTCCTATCCTCCCTCCACCTATCTTCACGATACCTGTCCAGAGGTGGAAGAGGTGGTAATGGTGGTAGTGGAGGGATATCCAGGTCACAATTACCCATTTCTCTGTCATGCATAGCTCTCATGTCCCAGTCTCTATCCCATTCTCTGTCTAAATCTTGATCATAAATATCTGAGGATCTTCCAGTTCTATCTAGATCTCTCTCTAGTTCCCTTTCTCTTGGCCTTTTCCAGTCATCCCACCATGAATCTCGTCTGTCATGATCAGATGATAAAGGAGGTAGTGGTGGCAGAGGAGATAATGGAGGCAGTGAATGGTGGGATTGCAACCTGTCATCTCTGTCATATGCATCTACAGAATCATCCTGATAATCAGAGTTGTGATCTCTCCAGTATTGTTCTCTTTCCCAGTCATCCAATTGCTCATGCTCCAAAGAAGGGTCATCTTGACTATCTAAAGGAAATTCTTCTTGCATTCTATCGTCTTCATGACCCCAAGAACCCCTGAATGTTTCATCTCGATGGTATGGAGGCAATTCATCAGGGTCATCTCCTAGGTGAAGGGGTTTACCCATATTGCCTGTTTCAGGTCTTCCTGCTTCCCTCTCATGGCTACCTCCCCTCCTGATAGGACACCTCTCACGGCTACCTGCCCGCCTGCCCAGGCCCCTCTCACGGCTACCTGCTCGCCTCATGGGGACTCTCTCCCGGCTACCTGCACGCCTGACAGGGACCCTTTCCCGGCTACCCGCCCCCCGCATGGGCTCTCTTTCCCGGCTACACGCCCGCCTGACTGGGCCTCTCTCCCGGCTTCCTGCCCGTCCCCTGTCCCAGTTGCCTGTCCGTCCAGCTAGTTCTCTGTCTCGGCTAGAGAATACCCTCTCATGACTATCTGACCGTCCACCCGGGCCCCTCTCTCGGCTGCCTGACCTTCCATCTGGCATCCTCTCTCGGCTGCCTGACTGTCCATCTGGCATCCTCTCCCTGCTGTCTGCTCTCCTGAACATTCCCCTGCCACGGATGGATGCCTGCCTAGCCTGCCCTCTGCCTCTGTATACATATCCTCTGCCACAGCCATCGTCCATCCTCCCCATTCCCCAACCACTGTCCATCCTTCCCATTCCCCGGCCACCATCCATCCTTCCCATGCCCCTGCCACGGCCCATTCCCCAGCCACGGCCATCCCCCTGCCCTCTGCCACGGCCCCTTCCTCTGCTTACTGGTCCCTTGCCTCTATCTTCATGCATAAACGGCCCTTTCCCTCTGCTTTCTGGTCCAGGTAAGCCCTGGGTGCTATCTGAAGCAGTCAATTGGCCATCTGGTGAATCCAAATCCTCATTTCCTGTTACAGGTGTTACAGTATTCTGGTTCTGAGCAGGTGAAGTAGGTGGCTTTGACTCTTCTACTTGCTGGTTAGGATCATGTGAACTCCATGTCCACTTTTTAGGAGGGTCTGAAATAGTTTCTTTGACTTCAGGTTTGGATGGTTCCTGTTGAGTGTCTGTCAGGTCTTCATTTGGCTCAATGGGACCTGCAGTCTGTGCATCGGGAGTAGACTGTGTTCTGCTTACAGTCTGCTGATCACCAGCTGTGTCTGTAAAAGGTTCTTTGTTTTCTGACTCTGACTCCGTCTGTGCCTGCTGCTGCTGCTGTCCCAAGTGAGGCCTGGGCCCCGTCCACCGTGGGCCACTAGGTCGGGAACCATGTCCATGTGATGCATTTGTCGAAGTATAAAATTGTCCTGCTGGTCCTCGTGGGATAGACCCCCATCTACTTGAAGACTGTCCATCTGTATTCTGCCTGTCAAAACGTGACCTGTATCCTTCTGAGCGCTGAGAGTCAAAACGAGGTCCTCTCTGTCTTGAGCCTTCAAACTTGTCATATCCTCTTCCTCGGCATCCATCAAATCTATAGATGACACAATAGCAATTTTATTCAAACGAACATGTCATATTAAAATCCTATAGATTCATTTTATACAAAGTCCAAACATGTCCAAAGTCTAGTTGTTTGGATGTTTGGGATTCACATTTGTACATCACTGGATGGGTCAGGAAGGCCAAAGCATGGCTGGAGCTGAACTTTGCAAGGGATGCAAAGAGTTAGAAGAAGGGCTTCTATAGGTATGTCAGCCAGAAAAGAAAGGTCAAAGAAAGTGGACCCTTGGACAAACACAACTGGTAAACTAGTAACAATGGATGAGGAGAAAGCTGAAGTACTCAACAACTTTTTTTGCCTCAGATTTCACCAGCAACCCTATAACTCTTGAGTGGATGGACTGCAAGATGGACTAGGGGAGCAAAGTCACTCCCATTATAAGAGAAGATCAGGTTCATGATGACCTGAGGAACCTGAATACATGTAAGTCTATGGGACCTGATGAGACACATCTCAGAAGCCAGAGGGAATTGACTACTGTAGTTGCCAAGTCACTCTCCATGATATTTGAAAAATTGTGGCAGTCAGGTAAAGTCCCTGGTGACTGGGAAAAGGAAAACATTGCATCCATTTTTAAAAAGAGTAGAAAGAAGACCCTGAGAACTACTGACCTGTCAGTCTCACCTCTGTGCCTGGGAAGATCCTCCTAGAAGCTATGCTAAGGCACACAGAGGACAGAGAGATCATTGGAGACAGCCAGCACAGCTTCACCAAGGGCAAGTCCTGCCTGACCAACCCAGTGGCCTTCTATGATGACTAGGGGATAAAGGAAGAGCTGGGGATGTCATCTATCTGGACTTCCTTAAGGCCTTTGACATGGACCCCCCCACGATATCCTTCTGTCTAAATTGGAGAGATATAGATTTGAGGAGTGGGACTGTTGGGTAGATGAGGAATAGGATGGATGGTCACATCTACAGCGTAGTTGTCAATGGTTTGATGTCCAGATGGAGATAAGGGAAAGTGGTGTCCCTCAAGAGGTCTGTACTGAGACCAGTACCGTTTAATATCTTCATCAGTGACATAGACAGTGGCATTGAGTTCACATCCAGCAAATCTGGAGATGAAACCACGCTAAGTGGTGCAGGTGACATGCCTGAGGGACAGAATGTCACCCAGAGGGACCTGGACAAGTTTGAGAAGTGGGCCAATGGTAATCTCACATGGCCACGTTCAAGTCCCTGCACCTGGGTCAGGGCAGCTCCTGGTATCAATGCAGACTGGGTGATGAAGGGATTGAGAGCAGCCCTGCTGAAAAGGACTTGAGAGTGCTGGTGGATGAAAAGTTGGACATGAACAGAAAATGTGTTCTCTCAGCCTAGAAAGCCAACCGCATCCTGTGCCTATCACAGCACATCACTGAGCTCGAAACCAGTGCACATACAGGACATGCACTAGCAAGTAATGAAAACAGTCTGTTCAGAACTGTAAATTCAAGAAATCCCCATGACCAGAAACAACACTTTTTAAAAACCCTCAGGAGGTAGAAAATGATTAATTTATAAAAAATTAATTTATACTGCTAGCAATTCAGAAATTATTATTCATGAGTGATCACTTGTTCATGAGTGATCCCTTCAAAGAGAAGGGAAATAATGATGAAGATATTATTGTAAAGTCTAGTAGAGTATGCAAGGATAGAAATGATTGAACAGAACACCACTGTTCTTTGATTCAGGAGGCATCCCATCAACCCATCTTGAACTAATGATCAGACAGAACAGATGTTGTTTTTGCAATCTGATATCACGTCAAGTGTTAAAGAAAACCATTCCAAAACCAAGATCTTGGATTAAATCATATAGCAGGTAAAAAAATCACATAAAAGACACAGAACACTGTATTTTAGAATAGCTTTACATTAAAGCCGTAGGCCATCCATCTGACAAAATGAAAATTTACATTTTAACAAAACTGTATCTTACCAAAAGATAAAGACAGCACCTTTAAAACCAAAATCATCACAATATAATGCAAAAGAAAAAGTGACAAAGAATCCTGATGCTAGGATCCTAAGGCTCAAATCTTCATTTCTTTCCTTCTCTCTCTTGCTTATAATTGTCTGAAGGCTAAGTAATGCTACATATGTAGAAAACCACTGATTTGTACTTAAGACAAGCACTGCCTCCTTATCAAACAGCCATTTTAAAAAGTGCACTGAATAGGACACTAACGTAGCTGCAAAACACACTAGAAGTTCAAGTACTGGTGAACAGCTTTGAATTTTCATTTCTTTCTGCAATAAGTGTTGGATTACAAACAAAGAGTACTTTTTATCATTTCTAATAAGTAGCATCTAAATTGTCAGTAATTAGCTATGTTTATATATTCAACTGAATACATAACTGAATCCCTTTCACAACATCGACATTAAAGTGCTACCATATATAGCAACACCTTAAAAAAATCCTTCGATGTTTTTTGCTCCAGATTTTCCTAAACTGTGTTCCAAGTACCACAGATAAAATGATGGGAATATAGATCACTTTTCATGTAGGATCACTCTTTCAAGTGTGAGTTATCATCTTCAAACTAAGGACAGCAAAGACATATCCAATATTTAAAACAGCTTTTTCCTATTTTCAAAAAAGGAGTACTGTGTTTCTGGGAATTAAAAGGGTGCAGCATCCTCAAGCACTTTACCAGAAAAAAAGTGCAACGTACTCTAGATAATACTCAGGTGAAAGACATCTATATATCCTTGCTTTAAAAGGTAAATGCAGAGAACATGGTGTACATATATTAAAAACAAAACTTCCACCAAATAAACAAACACACTTCACACAACCTCAGGAAAATTTGAGATAGGATATATGTTTCATTTCTTAATACATCACTGAACGTCTTGTAGCCTGGAACAAGTATAAATCAACAAAAACATCCTTACCTAGGGCCTCTGGGGCCTTCAAAACGTGCTGATCTAGGAGGATCTGGAAGCAATCCACCTGACCTCACTGGTTTATCCTGCACAATAGATGTGTGTGTTGAAGACACTGCAGAAGTGCCTTTCAGTTCCCCACATCCTTGCTCAGATGAAACAGATACAGTTTGTTTACTAAGATGAACTTGAGACTTTCTGTGGTCTGATGAGCCAAAGGATGAACTTGCTTGAGAATGATAAGGTGAGTAGACAGTTGAACTACCTATTTTTGATGCATAGGTACCAGGGGTGGGAAGCAGAGCTGGCCTTGGTGTCTCAGAAGACTGACTGCTTTGAGAACTGGATCCTGAAGGGACAGAGGAATTGGACAACTGAGAAACAGAAGAGAGAGGTGGGGGAACCAGTGGAGGTGTAGTTGAAGGTAAAGTTGGAGGCATAATAGGAATGCCACCTTGACCAGTTTGAGAATATGGAATAAATGGAGGTGGCAGGGAAACATTTGCAGGATACTGATTCTTCAGATTTTGGAGTGAGGTCACTTTCTCCTGCAGGTGGGACTGAGTGACCTTCATCTGTTCATCCCACGCTTTCCACTGTTTCTCATACTCCTGAAGCTGATCTTTGTGAGGGTAGGTTTGAAGCTGATGCTGCCACTGTTGGTTCATTGATCGCTCCCAATCTTTATGAAGCTGCTGGAATTGTTTTTGCTGTGCCTCATAATGCCGCAGTTGCATGTCCACTGACATTGTCTGCAATGAGAACACAAGAATAGCTTCATAATACCATCTTAGTTACTTTCAGAGCCACATATTTCAGTATCACTTGTAATATCACAATTTCAGACTTGAGCAGAAGCTTGAGGAAGAACTACACTGAAACAAAAGCAAACACCAACTGTGATGCCTAAAGTCATTGTGACAATTTATACATTTTATGACTAGAGGACATCTCTGTATAAGAGATTTTAACAGGACAGCTAAAAAAAGCAATAAGCTGCATTATTACTGAATTCTAACAATGGCTAAAGCCCAAATTAATCTTCACATGTATACATGGTATGTGGTTATTTCTCAAGGTTTCAGCTTCTGCTATTAACCTGCTTAGAGTTGCCTCAGCTGTCAGCAATTATTTTTCTCTAAACCTTTGCCAGATCTTCTTATTTGTACAGTGAAGCTTCTTTCAAAGAGGTCTGTCTTTCATTATGTGTAGATAACCTAATATTCATGGTTTGATCTTGTCTGAGATTTTTAAAGTTTACCTGAACAGATTTTTTTTTTAAAGTAGACAGCTCAAACTACAAAGAAATACATAATGTACAAACTCCACCAACCCAGCAAAAGCTGACTCAACTCTCTAATACAGTAATCAACTTCTACTTAAAAGCTTAAAGGTTGCAACACTAGTATAATCATCCAAATTTGTTAAGACATTTTATTTTATTTCACTGATTATTTGAGCAAAAAATAATGTGAGATATTGATTTTCTTAATTATTTTACTGCATTTTTTGGCATCTATATTTATCATTGTACATATTTATTTTTGTACTAGTCGATGTTGTAAGAAAGAGCAGCTACCAAACTACTCTTGCAATCATCTGTTTTCCTGACCTTTCTAAATTGTTTGTCCGGCAGTAAAATGTTCAAAGCTAAGTAAATTCAATATTATGTTTAGCTTTCCTCCTTTATCACTCAGGTATGTCCGAAAAATTTTATGACAAGTGTGAAGTCTTGTACTTCTCATCCTGCTGAAGCTTCATCATCATTAATCAATTCTTTTTTTCCTTTTGAAGTTGACTGACGTTAGGAAAAGGGGATATAAACAACTACCCAAGCAGAAAAAGTAGCTAGACAAATGAGTCAAGCATCACAAATTATTCAACTATTTATTTTTCAGCAGACCATGAGTGCTAGGTCACCCAAGAAGTATATCCCGGGTGGTATGTCCTTAGTGTCTCACCTCTAAGTGTGGAGGCTGTTGCATGACCTGTTGATACTGCTGTACTATCTGCTGCAGCTGAGCATGCTTCTGCATTATCCTCTGATACTGAAATCCAACCCGGTGATGGGGGTGCTGCTGCCACTGAGCTGCTGCTGCTTGCAATTGCTGCAATCTCAAATCTTCCTCAGGGTCATCAGGAGGTTCAATATTGAGCTAGAGAAAAAGGCAAATACTATAAATAAGAGAAAGTTGCTTCTGTCAGAAGAAAAACACGCTTGGTCCCTACATAGTTTACAGGACCTTTAACGCTGTTCCTTATTTTATTACTCTGTATTTCAGTGTTCTGGCCACTCAAAACAGCTGATTTTTTTTTCAGCTTCTGGAAGACTGATTTTTATTTCATCTTTTCCTAATGTGAACAGTCTAATCTAAAGGTTAGGCTGAGACAATTAAGTTATTCATACATAAAGAAACTACCTAAAGGAAAGAGATTCATGAAAATCTGTTGCTCACAGCAAATGTAATGAGAAAACAGTGGTTTTTCATGATGAGGTAAAGTAACTCTGAGTGCATTATTTTTTTCCACTTTGCAGGAATCCACACACTGTAAGTTAAAGTGGAGCACATACGGCAGGGTAATTTACTACCCCACAGTAATTTGTTCAAATATCAATCATGACCTTCACTCATTGTACAGTAACTTTTATTAAGCATGCTGACAAAAATACTCTGTGCAAAATTCTTGGCTTTCAGGCAAACTATTAACACGCAGAAAGAAGGGGAACCAAAACTCACAAACTACTAGAGAAGAATTAAGAAATACCGTCTTAAACATAGCATCTACTCATCAGTAAATCAGGTACTCATCTACTGAGTACCTGATTTTGCACTTAGGTATCTTAAAGTGTTTCTCATAGACAAAGATGACAATGCCGGGGAAGGTGCAAGGGACTCAAGCTCAGACTTGCTTGTTGCATGTATGGGTGATTATATAAGTCTATATACAAGGAGTACATTTTTATTTTTTAACTGGTAGAGTGTTACCAATTTTTTTTAAGATTGCTTTACCATATTTACTTACTGTTACGAAGTATACATGAGAATGTGATGGCATTATTTTCCTGGGTTTTTGACCCATCTGTGATTACAAATGGAGTGGAATCACTTTACAAAGTCTACCTGAGTTTCAGTGGATGTAAGAGAAGACTCATCTTCTTTGGAAGCTGGAGGCAGGGATTCATTAAGTGGAGGAGGTTCAGACTGCTGATTTGAAGCACCCATTTTCCCTTCTTCAGACTTTGCTCTCTGCTCAGATGCATCCTTCAATACTGGACTTTTCATCTGCTGCTGTCCCTGAGCATGGGCTTTTGCCCTTTGCTGCAGGCTAAGCAGGTGCTGCTGGTACCAGTATTGCTGCTGTTCCTATAACAGATGTAAATTTTCTAAGACAGTTTTCACAAGAAAAACAAAGGAAAATAATTCATGATAGTCAGTAGAATCATACTGTAAAAAAGCTTTTAAAACTGTTTGGAGGAAAAACTCACTTCTTCAGCAACATTATTGCAATGGATGTCAGAAGATCAAATCAAATTCAGATACCACTACGTAAGGTATAGAGCCCACAGCAGAATTTACTTCCCACCTCAGCAGTTATTCTATAACTACAGCAAACAATAATAACAAAAAGCTAGAAGATAGGCGATAATAAGCCAAATTACTACAGACATATTAAAAATACCATATTTATTACTTTTAGTGCTTTTTATATCTAAGATACTTAGTATGAGACTAACTTAGATAAAATAAAGGAGAAATGGAGGACAAGTATGAGTAAGCCACCAGTAAAGAGAAAAAAGGAGGAAATACAGAGAAGAGAAGGATGAACAGAGAACATAGACATCAAGTAGACCAAAAATGACAGATGAGAAATTGTGGTGGAGATGTTTGAATAAAGGCTATAAAAACGAAAAAGTACAATCAGAACCAGTATATAGTGAGGTTTGTGTATCATCTGAATTCTCATTAATCCCGATTCATTCAACAGCTGAAAATATAAATAGATATGGTTGCACCCAAAAATAGGATTTTAATATATTTAAGATATAATTAAGTTTTCAGTTTTAAATATTTCAGGGTAGAATTAGAGTACTCAAGACAGATAACAGTAGCTTCAAAGAAAAGTAAGCTGCCACCAACATAAAGAAAAAAAGACTAAAGATTAGTATCTCAGCACTTAAGTAGTGGTCCATCTTAAAGAGACCAGAGTAGGAACAGTCCTATATGTCTTCCAATATGAGAAATATCAGGCATCCAATGACTAGCAGGACACATGTAATAGGCAGCACTTCATCTGCCACCAAAGTCCCTGCCAAAGACCACTGCAAGGGCTAAAATTTTGTGGATTCATAGTTCCATAAGCTCACAGAAGAAAAATCTACATACTTTAAAAATGAAAACATCATTTGCAGATAAGGCAGCTCCTGCATTTTAGGGAAGCATTGCTATACACTTGATTTTTAAGTTGTTCTCTTAGCCTCTGCTTTTAGTCACTGTCAAAGACAATGATAAAATACTGTATTTTTTGGTCTGACCTAGTCCAAGCATTCCTGTGCTCTTATCTCAACTCTACCACCTCTGAGAATCTGTGCTCTACATCTTTTATATCTTCTGTTATTCCCTTCCACCCAAAATTGCACAGTTAAGAAAATACACCTATATAAAGGCCAATCAGAAATAAAAAAGAATCCAAAAGATGCAGGTATTTTAAAATGTAAGTGTGACAACAACAAAGTGGTAGCTGTTGTCTGATGAGATTTCTCAAAACTGAAACATTCTGCTCATCTTATAACAGGTTTAAAAGAAGTACAACCTTTCTCTGAAATCCTAACTTCATACTCAAATCAGGCATGATGTTCTCTATTAGTAGCAAACACAAATATAGAGCTGTATTTTTTCAAAAATACTTCTGTAAAACTGTAACTTGGAAATGAGGTCAATGAAAGGAGAGCCTATGCTCCACAGACTTTAAGTTGATCCTGAAATTACTCCTGCCAAGAATCTTTTTTAACAAGAATATGACTCTGAAGAGCTGTCATGGCTTTGGGTGGAAGATGTGCATTCACACTCCAGCATGGACTCTCTCAGAAATCTTCAATAACTTGCTGAAATAAGTGCAACTTACAACATGAGGAAGGAGCATACTTTCCCAGCTATATAAAAGCTGATTAAATTATCTGTCTCAAAAGGTACTATAAAGTGATTTTCCATCATGGTGATAGATGCTGTACTTGGTGAGCACATGTTCTACTGCCACAGAATTGTCATCTCCACAGATCCATTTTGTTTCCTCTTCATTCTACCAACTCAACGAAGGGCTAGAACTCATAATATGACCTGGTGTTCCCACAAAGAGCTATGACAATACTGTTAGCTATTTTTTGCAGTAGATGAAGTCAGTGACACACGTATTACAGATTCTATCTGAAAAGCACGAGAAGAGCGAAAAGGAAGATTCTTACAGCTTAGCCTGAGCAAAACAAAAGTGCTAATGTAGAAAATTTTGATGATGAAGAGTTCAGTTATTTGAGCGCCTACCTCCTCACAATGATCGCCATTCTTCAAGTCCAATTAGAATCCTTAAGCCCAAGGAAAACATCAGCACCAACATACACCCTTTTCCATCACTGGCTGACCAAGAGACTAGGTCTGTTGCATTTTACAGGAACACTGAAACCAGCAGTATCAGCTCATGACCACAGGACATACCACCAAAAACATCAAAGCCCACACCAAAAGACTACTCCAAAATTAACTTAGTTGACCCTAGGCCACAACGTAACACCTATTTTGGGGGACACTTGGTCCTTTTCTGGTATAGATAGCAAAAGAATGGTTTAGTGCCCTTTATAAAACTAAAGGAGCTGTTTAAAGAGTGCAGCATTCTGCTGAATGGTGATCTGGTAAAGCTAAGGTAGCTTTAACAGATGTAGAAAAATGCATATTTATGGGTATAGATGTACCCACACATATTTGGTTACTACTGGAGGGCACTAGGAAGAGCACTGCCAGCAGGTTGAGGAAGGTGATCCTGCCCCTCTACTCAGCACTGGTGAGGCCACATCTGGAGTGCTGTGTCTGTGGTCCCAGTACAAGAGAGCCATGGAGCTCCTGGAGTGGGCCCAGCAGAGGGCAACAAAGATGATTAAGGGACTGGAGCATCTCTCTTACAAGGAAAGGCTGAGGGAGCTGGGCCCGTTCAGCTTTGAGAAGAGACAACTGAAAGGGAACCTCACCCATGTCTACAAGTATCTGAAGGGAGAGTGTCAAGAGGAAGGATGCAGGCTCTTCTCGGTGGTGCCAAGCAACAGAACAAGAGGCAATGGGCAGAAATTGATGCACAGAAGTTTCATCCGAACATGAAGAAGAACTTCTTGACTGCGAAGGTGACCATGAACTGGAACAGACTGGCCAGAGAGGTTGTGGAGTCTCCCTCACTGGAGCTATTCAAGAACCGTCTGGACACAATCCTGTGCCATGTGCTCTAGGATGACCCTGCTTGAGCAGGGAGGTTGGACCAGATGACCCATTGTGGTCCCCTTCCTTACCCAGTCTATGATACTGTAAATAAACAGCAGAATACAGTACTGTCCTAGTTAGGACAGCTGAGACCAGTTCATCATGGTATGGGTGTAACCCAAAACTGTATATTCTATAGCCTTCCATGCCATTTCCCACAAACTGTTGTCAATAGACTATTCGCACCCTCTGCCCATAGAGCCTGACTCCTCAGGTTATAAACTAGGTGTTAAGAGGCCTGTGAGATAGGAGGATGCTCTTGTCCTCACACCTTTTGTGGAACTCCCCGCTCTGAGGGAAGTACTGAGCATTCCTGCCTGAACTGGAGGATATATAATCTTGGAGTCTTGGAACATTTTCAACCACTCGTGGGATCCAGAGGAAGACTTCAGCTCATCGCTCTCAACCAGACTTAGACCACCACCCTCAACTGGACTGCAATCACCACTTTTGACCAGACTGCAACAGCTCTCCCACCAGCAGGTTTTTCCCCTCTCCCTTTACTTTGGACTCAAGCAGTGCCCAAGGAACACCACTTTGTTCATGCCCCAGGGTACTGGGTTATACATTTGGGTTTTGTGGGTTAGGACCAATTGTTTGTTTGTATGATTGTACTTACTGTATTATTTTAATAAATTGTTATTCTGATTTATAATCTCTCCTTTGAGTTGAGTTCATTTCCCCTGCTGGTTAACTCTTAAACCAGCACAAGTACCCAATTATCAAATGGAACATTAGTGAAATATCACAGGTACCTTAACTAGACTTGACAAAAGATGCATCTGATTGTAGAGAAACACAAGAATTCAGCAATTTAATCCAACCACACACCCATGCAAAAAACTACGCTAAACTCACTATATTGTTGAGGAAAAGAGTAGTATCTTACACAGGAAAGGAAAACAATAAAACACTACCTCATGGCAAATTGCATAACATTTTTTCAGTTAAAAGAAAAACACTGATCTATTTGTCTGCAGCCACTGTTACTGTGGGATGAGAACAGAAAGAATTGCTTTTAATTGCCAGTTTAAACAAAGGTCTAATAGGGTATTATAAATGACAAATTACACTATTTCTCTACTTGGCTTTTAAGGTCATCAACAAGAGAGCATCACTAGGCTTTGCTTTTTCCTATTCCTGTTGTGTAAAGACTTGTTACTCATTTTACAGCCGAAGATAGCCAAAATCGTATCTATCTCTTACAATAAATTTGTGACCAGAAAAGTACCATATTCCTTTTGAATTAACTGAATTGTGCAGGAGAGCAAACAAACTACTCAAGATAGAAGCTGTCTGTATATTCATTTACCAGACAATGTAAACTTCAGCAGTGTTCTACTGCTTTTGTGTGCATCACAATAACGCATTACTTGCAACTCTTCTGAAGAGCGTTTACTGTTCTATCATTGAGCTCCATAATGTAAGAAGTCACCAAGCTGCCTCAATACCAAATTAACACCACTTTCTACATCTGATTTCTCAAGATTCTGGTTTTGTCATTAAAAAATTTATTAAGTCTCATCGTTATCACTGCAAAAGATTAACTAGTACTGTCCAGAACCTTCGTAAAATTAAGTTAAATGAACTCAAAGCACCACATTGCTAGGCAGTAATTTGTTATATGGTGCAAATGTAAAAATGCAACTAAAAAGGTATCCCAGCAACTGACAAATTTAAAGTTTCAGTGACTTCAATATGATGTGATGGGATTTTTGCAAACTTAGCTTCAATTCAGAATCCTAAGATCAATTTCCCCAAAATAGATGTCTTTTAAACTTTAATAAAGTAATTCTAAAGTATGCACTTCAGCTTTGTTCTTGCAGCTGGATCTCTGCAAGACAACTCTAAAACCACGCAAAAGCCTCGGTGATCAGCCTGACCCATGCACATAGCCGAGGGCCTCAACACGCGTCTCCCTGTGCATGCTTAACCTTAAGCCACTGGATTGTCCCTGACAATGCAGATGAACAGTCCCATCAAGTTCGTTGGAACTGTTCTCATATAGGAAGTGAAGCATGCAAACATTTTGCAGGCATGTTGGACCTAGTGTAGGCATAAAAAGCATTAATATTTTCCACCCCAAAAGCATTTCAGAACATTTACCTCCAACGCCCTGCACAATTTCATACTAGAAGATCAAGTACATGTAGCACAAAACGTGAATCTAAGTAGATGGCAACTATGTACTGCAACAGAAACACTTTTGAAACTTTAACTATGTGTGGTAGGATTAAAACAGTCATAATTCTACACTGATCACGCAAACAACTGAAATACTACACCTTCAGAAAACTAAATGAAGAAATCATTGAAGATAAGTGACACTTATCCCGCAACGTGCAACAAGCAAACAGACTGCTGTTGTCACAACTGGCCGAACGAAGTCATCAGGGGTTACGTGCAGGTCGCTCACATGCTATACTTTGGAACACAATTCTCCAAAGACCAACACACCCCCCTAAATTCAGCCGGGATTTACACTTTCGCTGAAACAACTCAATAGCTCTTGAAAAATGACCATGTGTTACATCCCAGCAACCACCACTGGATAAAGAAGCACTTATGCAGCTTCCCGATCCGTGCCATTCCCAGACTCCCACGGGTTACGTCCAAACCCTCTAAGTATTATGCAAATGCGGTATGTTTATTAACCGCCCTTACTCGGAGACCTTAGCTACGCCCCGTACCCGTTCATCGCCGCCGCTGCCCTGGCGACTCCCCGCTGCCACCCGGGCCGCCTTACCTGGGGGGTCATGGTGGAGGGGTCTGGCTGCTCCGTGCCACCGCCCTCCTTGGAGGCACTCTGCGCGGCCTCCGGCTGGGCAGCGGCGGGAGGGGGCAAGGACGGCTGGGGCGGTGGGAAATGCGCCTGCGAGGGTTTGGCCGGGGGAGGGATGGAGGGGGCCAGGGCGGGCTGCGCGGACTGGGAAGGAGAGGCCTGGGAGGAGAGCAGGTAGGGCTGGGGATGTGCCATGTATCCCTGGGCAGGAGGCGGCAGGTAGGGCTGTGAGGCGGTGGCCGGCGGGGGCTCCAAGTAGGAGGGCGGGGGTTCGGAGAAGGAGGGGGGCGGCTGGGAAGGCTGCGCCCGGGGCAGGTAGGGCTGGAGCGGCGGGCAGGTAAGGCTGGGCGGCGGGCTGCGGGGACTGCGGCGGCGAGGACAGCTCCATGTCCATGGGCACCGGCTCCGCGGGGCGCCGGGCGCCCCCCGCCCCCTCCCCCCCCCCCCCCCCTCCCCCCCCCCCCCCCCTCCCCCCCGGCCCCCCCCCCGGCCCCCCC